AACGTGTATAATCGTAGTCGGTTCCTGAATGCATTGATTTGAACTTGGAAGTCAGTTTACATGGGCCTGTTATAAGTTATGAAACAAGTATTGTTAAAAAAGAAATACAAACAAACAAAAATGTTGATAAAAAAGTTTTCCGTCTGCCATAACCGTGGTAAAAATTTTTTCAGTCTCGTTAAGCCGGAAACAAACATCTTTTTTTCTTGCGGCCTAATCATTGCGGGTAGTCTATGATCAATTGAGGAATGTGTTGACGTGGGGATTTGTTCCAGTAGAGTTGCGTGTAGGGTTCGTTGCCGGGTGCAATCGGGGATCCATCGGCGATCAGTCGTGTGATACTCCGGGGTCAACATAGGTGGATCAGTCCAATTGCGGGGCCGGGGTCCTGGGGAACATTTAAGGTCGCATGAGGGGTCGTTTCCTAGGATGCAAGAGTAAGGTGTAATGTTAGTATTGTGATCTATGTTAATACCATGTGTGTACGAACGATACTGATATTTGTATTAGACAAGGTGTGTCGAAGCAATTTTCGCTGGCGGCCGGGCCAGATGAGAAGAAAGTCAAGAAGACCTCGAAGCACTTGATGCCGTCGCAAAAAAGGAAAATTTCTTAAAATTGGGGAAATGTCAGGGATGCTGCATACTCACTCTACATATATTGCTTCTGCAGTGACTCCAGCGGGCTTGTATGGGATTTGATGTGCGCCGGGCCATTCAGACCCTCTCCTACGCAGTCTGCTGAATCGTGCGTGCGCGGTCGCACAGGGATCAGGCGTCTGGGCAGCCGATCCTTGATTCTCTATGCCTGTCCTGTCGGATGCTGGTGGTGACATCTACACGTGCGGCTGCTGCAGAGGCAGGGACAGCTTCGGTCCGGGCTTGTCGCAGAGGCTTTTCGCGAAGCAGGGGCTGGACTGCAGAGGTCCGTGAGGCATCGTCTTCGTCTGCTTGGGGTGGGCGTGGTGAAGGGGGCGGACTGTCAGAGTTATGTCTTTGTGCGAAGCATTGTCTATTGTTTTGGGTGCGGGCATAGGATTGGGGGGCGGACGCACGAGGTCTTGGTAACCAATGTTCGTCTGTTTTGGGTGGGCATGAGAGGGGAAGGAGACAGCAGCATTGATAAGCAATGGCAATGACCTGCTTGGGGTGGGCGTGTGAGAGGGGGGCGGACGCAGAGGTCTTGGTAAGCAATGTCCGTCTGTTTTGGGTGGGCATTGAGCAGGGGAAGGAGACAGCAGCATTTTCAAGCAACTGACGGCTTCTGCTTGGGGTGGGCGTTGTGAGAGGGGGGCCGGACGCAGAGGTCTTGGTAAGCAATGTCGTAATGTTTTTGGTGGGCATGAGAGGCGAAGAGGGAACAGCAACATGCGATGAAGCAATGGCAAATGACCGTGCTTGGGGTGGGCGCTGTGAGAGGGGGGCGGGACGGCAGAGGTCTTGGTAAAGCAATGTCCGCTGTTTTGGGTGGGCATGGATGAGGGTAAGGAGGACACGCAGCATTGGTAAGCAAGATTCTGCTGGGTGGGCGTGTTGAGAGGGGCGGATGCAGGAGGTCTTGGTAAGCCAATGTTCCCGTCTGTGTTTGGGTGGGATGAGAGGGGAAGGAGACAGCAGCATTGATAAGGCAAGTGAAGAGAGAGAGCCTTACACACATTCATGCCCCTCTCCCATGTGTGTAGCAGAGAAATACAGGTGTGTGAGAGTCTTACACACAGTCATGTCGCACCATGCGCGTAGCAAGGTAAGCTCCGACATGCCGCCAAACGTGGAGCGACATACAATCATGCATGCACGCAAACGTTTAATGTTGCATGGGAGCTATGCGGTGAGCGAGTGCGAGAGTAGATTAACAATGATACGACAAGATGCAATGGTTAAAAGTGTTCTTATATATTTGCGTGTGCGTGCGTGAGTGCATGCCTTGCTATGTGGTTGTTCATAATTTATGTGTAACACGGGTGTGTCATGCCATCAGCTCAAAAATTTCATGGCACACCGTCGCGGAACCATGCCGCAGCGAATTCAGCAGACGACCATGAGCGAAGCGCACGTGCGACCTCGCCCAACAAGCAACCTCCGGGCTGTCGAGCGTCGCATACGCGCCAGTCGACACTTCTACCTACCTAGTCCGAGCTGGCCCACGTCCCCCTGTCCAACGGTCAGCACGCAGCCGTGTACTCCCGACTCAAAGCTCGTCCGCTCCACGACCTTCTCGTCCTTATCGACTGAAAACGAAACGTCGTAGGACCGATGTGCGCGTGACGAGACAAAATTAGTCGTAAAATTAGTCTTAATGTTCACTTTTAGGAGTGAATAACGTGTGCCTGACAAGGGGGGGTCGTCGTTAGAAACAAAATTAGTCTTGACATTGTTCATAACATTAACTTTTTCTCACAAACTCCTGACAGAAAAAGAGTAAAGTTACTAGTTTCTCGTATGCAGTGTGTAGAGGTCCTGTCTACGAGATAAAGTTTATGTAAAGACTAATGTTAAGACTACTTTTGTTTCTGAAAATGGGCCCCTGGTCGCCAGCTTCCACCGCTCTCCAAAGTACAGAAGGGGGAATTATAAGGCGAAGTAGATGAAAAATAAAAAGAAGGAAAAGAAGACGACGAAAAGGAAGAAGAAGAAAAAGAAGCGATAAGTTTTGAATGATCTGCATATAAAATATTGTCTGCACAAGCACCCATAACAACATGGTGTACATCAATACCTATCTCAACTTTCTGCTTCTTTTGCACTGGTTTTTTTGGACGATTTCTCACAGGACTGTTTCTGGGCCTTTTCTGATTGTCGGTTTCACTTTTCCTTGCAGCAGCAGGTGGTGGATGGGCTAGAGTTTTTCTCGATCTAGGAGCTGGAGCCTCGCTCGTTTTTCTCGCAGCAATCACAGCTACACTTTTTCGTGTCTTGCCAGCGGCCGCCGTAGCCTTTGCGGCAGGCTGCGGCGCGCTCCTTTTTGTTGCTGTCGATTGCTGGAATATATGAATTACGGTCAAGTCTCATGTTACAGTCACGTATTATACAGTACAGTACGTTATTTATACAGTCACGTATAGCGAGTCAGTAATGATAAGGTGGCATACACTGATACAGTCACTCAATCATAGTTAGTTTAGTTTAGGATTAGTTTAGCACAATTATGAAAATGAGGGCCGGGATCACAAACAAACTAGGATTGTGTAGATTACAGTGTTTATATCAGAAAGTAATTGATTTTTCAAGTAACCAGTCAGTACAGAAATTTGTAAACATCACACTCACAGTCACAGTGTCACTGCCACTGGTGCTCATAGGGTCTATGTCCCCCAGGGTACTGCCGGAACATACCCAGGGTACGGTCCGGTATACCGGAACGTACCCTGGTAACTATCTGATATGGTTAGGGTTAGGGTTAGGGAGTAGACGTAGGCAACTCCCTAAACCGACCAGGCTCTCTGACTGTTACACGGCGTAGGAGCCTGACACCCTTCCATACGAAATGCCTGGTTGCTTGAAAACAAACTCCGAATTTCGTAAAACTTCGTAAATAAAACAATCGTATTACCACATTTGACCTCACCTGTTACATGTTGCAACTATCGCTACACTTCTTAATTACTATTTACCTCGAAATACACAATAAAATAAGATTTACTTTTGAACGTTTGACAAACGCCATTCTGGATGTTCTTATGTCTCTTTTTGTACTAGCTGTTTGTACTTGTATTTTTCGCTACGTATGATGGGATATCTATGGGGAAATGGCGGCTTTGTTCTTAGTTTTTATCTTATCAATTCTAATAATTGCTCGCTGACACGTAAATACATGCTCAGTGATAGCGTACATATAATAAATCGAGGCGTGGAAGTACAGAGAAGCGGTTAGAATAATAAAAAGTTGGATAATTTTACGTTTAATAGCAGCGCACGTCATGCCGAACGCGATTCTATTGCGCCGGCTTATGACCCTCTCGCCAACGTAGTGTTAAGCGAGAAGGGAACTTGTGGCTAGCGACTCCCTAGACTCGTTAGTGGAGTAGGCGTAAGGCGAGGTACGGTCCGGCATATTAGATAGTACCAGGGTACGTTCCGGCAGTACCCTGGGGGACAGACCCTCTCAGCACCACTGGTAGTACATGATTTAAGTGGTACAACACATATAGATAGAAAAGTTAGATAATGTCGCATACCCTGGTTGGTCTTGCCATGACGATGTTGAGCGTGATGAAAGACCTAAAAAAGTCAATAATGTACAATAATTGTTGAACTCTAATCACTACTGACTATAATGTGAATTAAGTTGAAGTTTGACATGCGTCTAAACAGAGGAATTGCTCCGATCTGTGATTGGAAGCCATTGCTTATCAATGCTGCTGTCTCCTTCCCCTCTCATGCCCACCCAAAACAGACGGACATTGCTTACCAAGACCTCTGCGTCCGCCCCCCTCCTATGCCCGACCCAAAACAGATAGACATTGCTTGCCAAGACCTCTGCGTCCGCCCCCTCTCACACGCCCACCCCAAGCAGACGGACGTTGCTCACCGAGACCTCTGCGTCCGCCCCTCTTCGCGAAGACCTCTGCGACGCGGCCGAGCTGTCCCTGCTCTGCGCAGCCGCACGTGTAGATGTCACCACCGTCCGACAGGCAGGCTAGATGGTCGCTGCCCGACGCGATCTGTGCGACGCGCACCGATTCCAGCAGCTGCGTGGGAGAGGGCTGAGGCCCGGCGCCAGTCAATCCCATCAGCCCGCTGGAGTCCTGCAGAAGCAATATTGTAGAGTGAGTTGCAGCTCCCTGACATTTCCCCATTTAAGAGAAATTTCCTTTTTTGCGACGAGATGTGTTCGAGTCTTTTGACTTTCTTCTCTCGCCCGCCGCACAGGAAAATGCTCTCGACACCCTTTGTCTTCAATTCGATCGTCGTACACCACATGGTTTAACATAGATTCAACAATCTATTACCACCTACCTCTATGCCTCACTAGGAACGACCCCTCATGCGACTATGTTCCCCAGTGACCCCGCCCCGCAATTGGAATGATCCCACGTTGACCCCGAGGATCACACGGAATGATCGCCCATGATCCCCCGATTCACCCGGAACGAACCCTACGCAACTCTCTGGAACAATCCCCACGTCACCACATTCCCTCATGATCATAGGACTCACCCGCAATGACTTAGGCCAAAGAAAAAAAGATGTTTGTTTCCGCTAACGAGCTGAAAAAATTTTACACGGTAGGCAGGGAAAACTTTTTTTATCAAATTTTGTTTGTTTGTATTTTTAACAATACTTGTTTCATACTTATAACAGCCCATATAATGACTTCAAAGTCAAATCAATGCATTCACCGATCGATATCACGTTGGGAATTTTTTTTATTTTTTTGCCGATCACAGTAAAGTTTCGACACGGGGGTTTAAAATGGACTCGGTCGGGTTAGTGGAAATAAAAGTCTTTTTTTAGGCCCTACCGTGCCATGACTCACCCGGAACAATCCCCACATCACCACGCCTCCCTGTGATCCCGTAACTCACCCGGAACGATCCCCACGCGAACACGCGTCCATCGGTCATCAGCGCGGCCGTGTGCGAGTCGCCAGCGCTGACCGCTGCCGCGGGGCCGTCGAGCGTGACGCGGCCCGGCGTCGTCTCGCTGCCTTCGCGGGTCGTGCTGCGACCCAGCGCTCCGTCGTCATTACAGCCGAACGTGTACACCTGCGAGAGAGAGAGGTCTAGAGTGCGTGCGTGCGTGCGTGCGTGCGTGCGTGCGTGCGTGCGTGCGTGTATTGTATATAGTCGACCCGTAGTTGCTTAGAATTGTTTTTTGTACTAACCCACCGGTGGCTGTGCTTGGATGCATTTCTATTTAGATCCTTGGGTTGCATGCAGCAGTTCACCATGTTGAGTTTCGACCAGGTCTTTTTTACTTGTTACTTATGCATGATGTTAAACATGTTACTGCTTCGTTGTATCCTGTCTGCACAATGGAAATTTGTCATGCTTGAAAATTAATTAATTTGTGTTGTTTGAGTTCATATTTCACATTTGCGTGATGGTGGACGCAGATGGCAGTAATATGAGCATGTCTTTTGTCCTGGTCATGTAGATGTAATAACCCAGTAAGTTCTTTTACTCACCCACAGGTGGCACTGCTTGTAAACTTTTCTATGTAGATCCTCGAACATCTGCAATAGTGTATGGTATTGATGTTTTTTACCACATTGACGTTTCTGACTGATCTCTTTTTAGCATTATTGCATGCTGCTTTTAAATTCTGAAATCTTAATGGCATGAGTAGCAATGATAGGTATCCTAATGCATTTGAATAATGTTAGAAAAATTTTATTTTATCACATAAAATCATTTAATTTCGAGATGAATTCAAAATAGTTATTGCCTGCAACAGTTTCTACAGCCGATATGCTGACTCTGTCGCTCGCTGTATCCTGACGTGTTATTCGAACATCCATGTAAAAGCGAGTGATGCATGACAACTTTTTTCCAGTATGCTGACTACATCATGAAGGTGCTATTCCCCGAGTGCCTTATCAAGATCTATATGGATGTGCACGGAATAGGATACGAGGAGAGCGAACGAGTGATGTCTACTCACACGCTCGAACGCGATTGAAAATCGCCACCGAAAATCTCCAGAATTTTCTTCCACCCTGGACGCCGGAATGGATCACGGAAAGTGCCTGGAATCCAGAGTGCCCCCCCCCACACATCCCACCCCCGGGGACGTGTGGGTGTGACGACGCGAGATGCACGCGGCAACGAAAAGCTAGTCTGTTGTTTGCTGATATTTCCTCTTTGATCTCCCCTCGAGTGAGCGTCGTTGCGAGGGCTAACGGTGCGTGCATGCGTGCGTGCGTGCAGGCGTGCGTGCGGTGGCGTGGCGTTGCGTGTGTGCATGCTTGATATGTGCGAGTGTGCATGTGCGTGTGTGCTTGCGTGCATGTGTGTGTGTGTGTGTGTCTGGCCGTGTGTTGCGTGCATGAGCGTGTGCGTGCGTGCGTGTGTGCATGCTTGAGTGTGTGTGGGTGTGTGCTTGCGTGCATGTGTGTGTGTGTGGGGCGCGGTTGTGTTGCGTGCGTGCGTGCGTGCGTGCGTGCGTGTGTGTGTGCGTGCGTGCGTGCGTGTGTGCATGCTTGAGTGTGTGTGGGTGTGCATGTGCGTGTGTGCTTGCGTGCATGTGTGTGTGTGTGTGCGCGTGTGGTTGCGTGCGTGCGTGCGTGCGTGTGAGTGTGTGAGTGTGGCCTCGCCACCGCCCGCCCCGGTGACATGGCCCACGCTGGAATGGAGCTAAGCTGCGTGCTGGTGCACTGTCGCATGTAGGTCAGTGAGCAGTGGCTTGCGGGTGAAGGTTGAGTGTCACCAGCAATCAAAAACATGTGCAGCAACCACTCATCCATCTCTGTCATCATCTGCTTGGATCTAAGAGGTCGTGACGGATTGGTGTTCTATACATACATACATATATATATATAATATATATCAGGAGTAGATCATCACAAAAAATGTGTGACAAATTTTGACAAAAAATGTGTGATTATTTACCTCTGGTATATATGCATATATGTATACATTTGTGTTTCTCCGAATGTGGTGTGCTTGTGTACAGGTCGCTATGTGTGTCAGGCATTGTCTAGCGTACAGGTGTAGAATTCTGCACCAACACGTCACAAGGTAGCCTTGAGTGTGCTGCCTTCATCCATTGATGCATAATACACTGTGTGCCTATAGCTGTGGACACACTGGCCGATTTTTCATGCGATTGAGCCACCCGGCTGAATGATGATGATAGTCACATGATTGAAAATGGCACCGTTTGATTGGCTGATTAATTGTACATTCGGACGCGCGTAGTAGAGAGTTTTGTATAGTATCGCATTGTTCGGGCGCGCGTAGTAGAGAATTGTATAGTATCGCATTGTTCGGGCGTGCATTGTATATACTCGCGCGACTTAAATAATTATCAAACATGTTTGATTCGGGTGACTCAGCCGACCGACTAGAAAATCGACCGCGACTCACTGGACACACTAGGCGATTTCAGACGGCCGGCTCAGCCGGGCGGCTCGACCGCATGAAAAATCGCCTAGTGTGTCCATCCCTTATGAATCTACATTTTATTCTGAGAGACGACCAGAATGGCCTCATTATTTGGACACGGCTGTGTTTCAGACTTTCGCTTTATATGAGATGCCAGTGCACTGCCATTTATATGACAGTGCCTTACCGCACAGCTGTTCGGTACCGGTAACAATGGGACAATGCTACGCGCGTGACAATGCTTCCGATGTAGCGGTGATGACAACGACGATCTGTTTTATTCAGCTGATTGACCCATATTCGAATTGCGACTGTAAATAGCTGACACGCTAAAGACGCGGGGACGAAACTGGGTGGCTGCTGCTGCTGCTGCTGCTTCCTAACGGGTTCGCTCATTTGCGTAATTAGGCCTAATCGGTGAAATGACTACTGACTTAATAGTTGTTACAAGGTGTAGAACAAATGGCTGTAAAGTTGATTGTTCTTAAAGACTCCACCAGTAGCGTGTGTAGGGTGGCATGTGCGCGTACGTGCACGACAACAGGCACGCACGCGCGCACGCGCGCACGCGCGCACGCACAGAAAATGTACGCACGACGTTTTGTGGGTGATTCTGGTATTTGATCTACCGCGTGATATATATATAGCTGGTGCTGTTGCGTTTGATTCAGGACTTTCTCGGTCTGTACATACTTTTCCTGTTTACAATAGACAGCTATTTTATTGCGTTATAATACTTCCTGTGTTTGTTCGAGCTTTCTTTGGTGTCGTAATAATATGTATAAGAACGGGTGATAATGCAGTAGTAAAATATATTCATACGTAGACACGCGCACGCACGCACGCACGCACGCAACGCGTGTCACATCTCACATCTACATCTATATTTACGTCTACATCTACATCCGTGTCTACATCTACATCTACATCTCTATCTACATCTGCATCTATATCTACATCTACATCTATAATCTACATCTATAATCTACATCTACGTCTACACGTTACGCGCTATTAGAAACGACGACGACGACGATGACAGCGATGACGACGATAGTGACGATGATGACTGTTTCCCTTCGCGTTGCGATGACGTCAGCATCCGTCGACGTCCGCGCTTCGATGTTCAACGGTAAATGTCGCACGGCCTAAATCACATAAAGATTAGTTAAACGTGTTTAGTTAAAAGCTATCTAATTACCTACGTCCGCCCAACTGAGTTGGAGGGGAGGTTATGTGATTGGTCTCGTGCGTTCGTGTGTTGGTCTGTTACTGTTAGCGTGTGTGTGTGTGTTCGCGCGATCGATATTAGCGAGTCAGCGAGCGAGCCAGCCAGCGCAGCGCAAAGCGACGTGTACATGTGAGCGAGCAGCAGCAACGCCGGCTGCTACGAGCTATGTCGCTGGCGGAAGAATGCACATTCCGTGAGTGCCCTCTGTCTAGTTATTGCTGTGACGATGTTTACGTCGATGAACCAATGTCCCCATAAATGCGGGCGACAGTGTCGAGAGGTGACATTGTCGCGCACTGTCGAACCGGTGCCCAAAATACTTACAAGATTAATTAATAATTACTATTTACAAATATGACGCTGTAACGATATAGTGTGGTATAAGTAAGGAGTATTAGTAAAATAAGTAAGTCGTATAAGTGGTAAAGAGGTTGCGTTGTAGTGTGGCGTCGCACTATTGTCCCCAATAATTGCAAAATTAATTAATTACAATTATGAAGCTTACGGTGATGTGCGCCCCCCCCTCATGTTGATTCTCTCACTTAGGCCTACTCATTAACCGCTTTAGCTTGGTTTTTGTTGATTCGAAGAAACGGGTCAGACAAAAGACGAGTACGATCTCTCATGCAATCGCTTTTCGGAATAGAGACCTCTCTCTGTGATGTGTGTCTCGCTCGCTCGTCTCTCTCTCTCTCTCTCTCTCTCTCTCTCTCTCTCTCTCTCTCTTTCTTTCTCTCATCGTCCTTTCTTTCTCTCTCTCGCTCTCTCTCTCTCTATCTTCTCTCATCTCTCTCTCTCTCTCCTCTCTCTCTCTCTCTCTCCTCTTTCCTCTCCTCGTCTTTTCTCCTCTCTCCGGCGTTCGCTCTCTCGCTCTCTCCTCTCTCTCTCTCTCTCTCTTCTCTCCTTTTCTCTCTCTCCTCTCTCTTCTCTCCTCTCTCTTTCTCTCTCCTTCTC